ATACCTTTTTCTTACATCATTTTTATAGCTTGTGACATAAATTTAACTCAAGTAATTCTCACCGGGTTTCTAAACGTTTTATTTATTTTTTTTGTCTTATTTAATGAATAGAGGTCATGAAAATGAATATCTTTTCCTTGTTCCTGTATGAAAGAGTATTGAACATCTTACCATTAAATATAATGCTACTTGTAAATTTGCATAGATAACTTATCAAATTAAGTGAATTATGTTTTGATCCTGGATTGTCAAATGTTTTTAAAAATCACAAATTGATATTGGATTTTATCCAGTGCCTTTTCTGCATGTATCAGTGTCTTTAAAAAATCCTTAGTTCTGTTAACAAAATGAACTATACATTCTTTGATTTTCAGGTGGTAAAACAACATGTATTACTGGAATAAATTAAATTTGTACATATTGGTCTATTAGCCTTATCATTTTGCTAGATTCAACATGCTACTTTAAAAAATCATGTCTGTATTTATATTGGTGTTTTTTAATGATTTATCAAAATATATATATGATTTTTTTTCTTGGTTTTTGATTGAACCCAGGGGAATTCTACCACTGGGGCACATATCTAGCCCTTTTCATTTTGAAATGGGTCTTGCTAAGTTGCTCAGGCTGGCCTTGAACTCACAATTCTTTCTCAGGCCCCAAAGTTGCTGGAATTACAGGTGTGTGCCCCTGTGGTTTTTTTTCCTTTTTCTTTTATTCTTCTTCAACCTCCTGTTGGCCCAGTATTCTAGTTTCTTGCAAGAAAAAACATTGTTTGGAATCATGCCCCTGGTTATTGGAAATTATTACTTTGCCTCACCCCAGAAAACCAATAAAACTTTCCACATCTTGCCTTGGTGAAACAGCCTAGTTTCTTAATCATTGCTGTCCACCTTTGGTGAAGCCCTAATTAAAGGCTTGCCTTTGTGTGCTCACAATATTGGTCTTGGTCTCATTCCTATTTCCAAGCCAGAAGATCCTGTCTCCAATAACAAAGGCAGCCCCTTGTCCACCCAGGCTGGTATTTAACTGGATCATGCCCAGTTCTCACTCTTCCAAAACTGAAGCTGGTGGTAATGAAGGTGGAAAAATTAGTTCATTCCATAGGTCCCTGGTGCTGAAGAAGTTCTAGAGCCTCATCTGTAAGTACTGGCCTCACAATAGCTGTGCTGCCTGAGACTGGGTGACTGGTGGTAGAAATGGACCCCAAGACTGACACTAAGCTGGGTCACATCTGAGTCTCACATCCAGAGGACAGATACAATTTTGGGGAGGCTGGTGATGATATAGGCTGAATGATGTTGTCTCTCCCAGGTGGCATGCAGGTTTCTGCCTGATGCTGGTTCATGTGTAGAGGCTCCATCTGTGAGCTTGGGCCTACACAGGGGCCTTGGTCTCTAATCTGCTCAGTCTCACAGTTGCAGGCCTGGCACTGAGCTCCAAGACAAAGACCTGAACTAGCTTTCATGACCCGTTCT